GCAGATGGGGACTGCAGCCAAGAAATTAAAAGACGCTTGCTCCTGGGGAGGAAAGCTATGGCAAATCTAGACAGCGTACTAAAAAGCAGATACATCACCCTGTCAAGAAAAGTGTGCATAGTCAAGGCTATGGTTTTTCCAGTTGCAATGTATGGCTGTGAAAGTTGGGCCCTAAGAAGGGCTGAGTGCCAAAGAATTGAGACCTTTGAACCATGGTGCTGGAGAAGACTGCTGTGAGTCCCTTGGACTGCAAGGCAATCAAACCAGTCAGTCCTAGAGGAGATCAACCCTGACTGCCTGATCCTGAAGATGAAACTCAAATACTTTGGCTACCTAATGAGAAGGAAGGACTCACTGGAGAAGAGCCTAATGCTGGGAAAGATAGAGAGCAAAAGAAAAATGGGATGACAGAGAATTAGGTGGCTGGACTGAGTCACCAAAGCAGTAGGCGTGAGCTTGAATGGACTCCAGAGGATGGTAGAGGACAGGAAGGCCTGGAGGAATGTTGTCCATGGGGTCGCAATGGGTCGTACACAACTTCGCAACTAACAACAACAAATTAAAAATATTTAGGGCTGTTTTCCAGTTTGAACAGTGGGAAATGCAAGGCAACTTTTCCAAAACTGGATAACATAACTTCAGAGGTTTTCTGCTCTTTGGGAATAAAAATAGCTTAGCTCCCATAATATTTGACATAATGGAATACCCCAGTCCTCAGTTAAGTGTATGTTGTCTTAATATTATCAACAGTATACATGAAAATAATCTGCAAATTGCTACAGTGCCATACTAGCAGAAAATTGTCTCTATCTCTCAGAAGGCCTGATTCTCAGACTTTATGTAGAAAAGGTCCTACATTCAATCTGAAATTCTTCAGGAAGACCAGGAAGAATTCCTCTCTGGGAAGATTATCAGACATGGTGCCAAATTCTATGGCTACTGCCTCAAACTGAAAGTAGTTCTTATCCAAGCATGATTCTCACATAATTTTTTTTAACAAGATTCATGATCAGGATGTAATAACAAGCAAGTGAACTATTTTCAGTTTAGAACCAATATATTTCCGTGATTAGATGGACGCAGGTCTCCTTGTTGATAACAAGAAAGTTTGCAAATAGTTATTTATAGTACATTTTTTAATCTCTCTGGGAACCAACTTTCCTATCTTTAAGTTTATCTTAGCAGTCTTTCCTGAAGTCCTTCCTGTAAGACATTGAATACTTGTACAAAATGAAGCTAAGATGTAATACAATGAAAAGTACTCAACAACACTATAGGCTGAAAGATTAATCTATTCATGTTCCATGAAGATTTGAAGTTGTGTCTTACAACTCCTAAATATCTTGCTGTGGACCTCAATAGACCTGGTCTTCGTGTCTTATTTGGCCTACATGAACATATCTAAAAATTCTGAAACTGCTTGCAAATGCTGCACTAAAAAATGCCCAGATTCTGTTATAATATGAATACTATGGGGGCAAGGCTACAATTTATTTTTCCAGTTAAAATTCTATCCAGGTTGAGGAAACACTCCAAAAAAAGACAATGGCAAGTTGCTTGCCAAGAAATTTGTAAGGATATGCCTATGCAATCACCAGGCCTTTTGCATCATTCACTAAATTTGAATGAATGAATGAATGAATCAGATTTTATATATCACTTGTCCAAAATACTAAAATATATGCAGTGATAAATAAAATATATTCAGGTAATAACCTGAAGAAGTTCAAGACCACAGTTATGGTCACATGCAAGGAAGTTCCATTGGTAATAATAAACACACACACACATTACAGTACATACGTTGGAGATAATTTAGAGCAAGTGCTGTTTCTCCACACAAAACATATGAGAAAAAAAGCTTTTAATTCCTCACAAAGTGTAATAATTGGATAGTTATAGTCTAAAATTACATAGTATAATATAACTGCAAGTTATTTTTCTTGTGCTCTATTATTCACTCTCTGTACCTAGAAGACAACACGTCTTACCTCCCTGGTGTATAAGTTCCTCAAGCACTTCTGTGGATATAAAATCAGTGGTTGCCAAGTCTTCTGGGTCACCAGAGGTGCAAACCCACCGAAATGGGCCAAATCCCATAGAAAAAATATCTCTGGGAAGAAAACACAGTTAAACATTGAAAAAGATAGCTTAAATTCCTGTTTTATTTATACTTATGGTCCGCAATGCTTTTCTTTCATTAACCAAGGGTAGAAGAATTTCAGCTATTTCGAACTGACTAATCCAAACACGAAGCTCTTTGAATCCCTATTTTAGAACTTTAAATAAAGCTTTACTTGCAGACATAAGCAACGTATCATATGGCCATTTGGCCACTTAAATTTACTAGTCATTGTTGTGCCAAAGTAACAGGAATCCAGTTGCAAAGTGCTTTTAATATCAACTATTACAATTGATTGTATTATTCTACTTGTATTTAACTTTATTTACACCACAGGTGCGACATGGTGGTTCAGTGTCTAAGATGCTGAGCTTGTTGATCAGAAGGTTGGCAGTTCAGTGATTCGAATTCTTAGCACCACGTAACAGAGTGAGCTCCAGTTACTTGTCCCAGCTTCTGCCAACTTAGCAGTTCAAAAACATGTAAAAAATGCAAGTAGAAAAATAGGGACCACTTTTGGTGGGAAGGTAACAGAGTTCCTTGCACCTCTGGCATTTAGCCCTGCCGTCCACATGACCACAGAGATGTCTTTGAACTGCTAAGTTGGCAGAAGCTGGGACAAGTAACTGGAGCTCACTCTGTTACGTGGTGCTAAGAATTCGAATCACTGAACTGCCA